TTAAAATAATTTTTCAGCTCAATTTTAGTAAGAAGATCCTAAAAACTTCTGCCTTTGAATGAATTCAAATGGGTGCTTTGAGAATGCACATGTTGTTTCCACTGGAGGAGAGGACAGGAAATGCCTGGAATGTCAGTAATGAATATCTTCAGGGTGTCACAGGGGAAAACTCATCTATCCTGATTTATCTTAATACTAGCAAATTTAAACTCGATAAAACTGAAAAGCAACTGTCAGTGCTTGCAATCAACATTCTGCCTGATACTATTATTTCTTTTCAAGGAATAAATTTACTTTCACAAAGGTCCATCTTCCCTCAGTGTTGGTCTCTTGCTGGTGTTTTGTAGTGGCTCTTGGATGTACTTAGGTACCATTTTGCTAACCTGTAGCATCAGCAGATTCTTCGTGGGGTTGCAGTTTCTATTAGTGTATTATTTTTCATTTTGAATCTTCACAGTCACCTCTTCCCTTGCAGATAAGAAGGCAGATTGTACAATCACGATGGCTGACACGGATCTGTTGGCACTCATGACTGGCAAAATGAATCCTCAGACAGTAAGTACAGCAAACATGGGATGATAGAGGACTGACTTGTTTGTTCTGAATGTGTATAATTTGAAATTATTTAAATAAGCCTCCTCTTCCAAAACTGCTGTGGCTGATCTGAAAGATGGCAATTCTTGACCTTCTCTAAACAAATTGGCCAAAGTTCGGATTAATCAAGAAAGATTGATGATTAATCTGCTTTCCTGAACAGAAACACTCTGTCTCAGACATGCTGTAGGTAATCCAGAAGGGGGTGGAATAGCTCTTGCTTTGCAGAGCAGAGGGGGAATTCCCTGTTTGCTGTGTGCCACCACAAAGGGGGAATGTGGGCCCTCTGTTTGGAGGGCTCTGTGCTCATAGCTGGCATTAGTGTAAGGAGTGATCTTGATGCTGAAAAAAACAAACAGATTAATCCACTGAATGCCTGTGATTAGTTGGGGTTTTTTTGTTTGGCTTTGTTTTTTTATTCCTCATGTGTGCCAAAAGCAGTTGTAGTGTATGAGTAAAGCAGATGTGTAAGTTTATGTGCTGTCCTTCTAAATTTGAAATCCTCTGGGTAACATTCTTTCAAGTTTTTGGTCTGCTAATCACAGGGTAAATAAGAATTTTCACAAAATGAAGTGCGTCTAGGAGAAGTCTGAAGGTAAAACACGTTACAGAAATGTTGTAATGTACAGGTAGAAAATTCAGAAGCGATTGCAGTTTTACACCTGCAGTTTGGATATTTTAGTGCATGTGCTTCACATTTTTACAAGGTCTGGAGGAGAAAAATCAAAAATATAAGAACACAACTTCCTCAGTTTGCTGTTCTGCCTTCTAGTGCCAGAAAATGCATTTATCCCTGGATGTGAGGTGTGTGCCAGAACTGTTGGAATTATCAAACTGCACATATCAAACATGTAACTCTCTGGGGGGGTGCATTTGGGGTAACTTGTTGTAGTACATGTCACAGACTCTTTCTTTCTTTCTTTCCAGGCATTCTTTCAAGGCAAATTGAAGATTTCTGGGAACATGGGCATGGCAATGAAACTTCAGAATCTACAGCTTCAGCCAGGCAAAGCTAAACTTTGAGCTCAGTAGAGTAAATAGTCAGTATTTGATGTTCTTGACAAAAAAGTAGAATGAGACTAGACATTATCAATAATCTGGAGCAGGCTGGGTTTGATTGGACCTCTCTCACCTCAATTCTGTGGTTAGAGACCTTTAATTCTCTTCATAAATTCCATCAGTTTCTCTATGGCTAAGCTTGAGACACTAACTCTTACAAATGATATATGGTGGGCTTTTGTGACAGGTTTCGTTCTAATCAATATGGAAAATCTTATAAAACTTAGGATGGAATGAGGCTGCTTTCTGTTCAGGTTAGTTGGGAAGGAAGTGAGGAAACTTATAAATAGTCTGGCATATCAGTAGAGGGAGCTGCATTTTTTAAAAGCTGTAATAGCAGGTCATACAAATGCTTTCAGACTTCCACTCTAACAAATTTGCTGCTGCTTACATTAAAATGGTCTTGTAAAGGGGATCTCTAACAACGTTTTTTTAGAATAAGTTTTAGGAATTTGCTATAAAATACTTTTCTTATTACTACTTTGGAATGACAAGAGAAATAAAATATCCAGAAGCAAGCAGGAACTGGAATGTTGAAAACAAATTAGGTTTGCCAGGAGAGCAGAGAGGGAGTACAACCAATATGTTACCTGTTTTCTCCTGACAAAATCTGGTGTTGATCATGACAAAATTCTTGTCAGTAATTTCTTTAAGTTCTGTTTTGGGCGAATGTTTTCTGGTTGGAAGTTTAATAGAAAATTAAATATACTTTTCCTGTTCTTCTGTGTGTCTCTTGCTCAGATTCATAAAAATGGATTTCATGTTAATGTGCTGTTTTGTTCAGGTTCTCACAAGGGGCACTGCAGATGTCCATTTTTTCCTCCTCAGGCATTGTCAGTAGGCAGTCCATAACCTGCATCTCAGCCCAGCAGGTCCATCTCACATCCTCACATGTGGGCTATCACTGAGGAACTTACTGAAACTTCCACTTCCCTGCTTTAACTGCAATCACAGCTGGACTCCACGATCCTTGGGGATCCCTTGCAGCTCAGCAGATTCTGGGATAATAAAAATGAGCCAATTCAAGCCCATCATTCTGCTTCTCCATAGTGGATGGTGACGGGTTGCTGAGCAGTAAGAACGGCTCTATTGCATCAGACCCAAAATCTGTGTAGCCCACTAGATCTCTGACTGTTGGTACCTTGGAAGGAATATTATGATGGCCCAGTGATTGTAATTTTGTACATTTTTTTTCCCAGCTCACAAATTTGAGTCCAAACTGATAGGTCTGGATTGCCTTTCAGGAGTTTATCCAGTCCCTTTTTGAATCCTTGGACAGCTTTTTTCAGATGGATCACGAGCTTCTGTACCTACATATCATGTGGAATTAAACTTTATCTTCTACATTGCAGTTTTATACCTCTTAGGATTTTGTTTTTGTTGTTTTTTTCATGTTTGGTGGTGTTGGTTTGTTGGTTTTTGTTTGTTTGTTTGTTTTTTTAACTGGAAGAAACCATGAACAGCTCCAGAGCACTCCTGGTGTTTATGGTCTTGCCCTGTCCCCGTCAGGCTTCACAGCTCAGAGAGGACGTTCTATTTCCCTGTGTCCCCTGGAGACACCCTCGTGACCTTTCGGCCCTCCTGGTGTCCTTCCTGTGTGCTGCATTCCCATTGTCCTTAAAAAGTTTTCTAGATACAAGAACATGTTCTGCTTTTGTTTTCCTTTCCCCCTTTGCTTTCCTCACCACTGCTAGTTTTAAGATGATGTTTTCTTAGATGCCTTAAAACTGGGGGCTCATTTCTTTCCTGCTGACTCAGTGCTTGTTCCTGCCCCGTGACACTGAAATATTTTTAATTATTGCTCCGTATGCTTAATTTCTTCTGAATTTCTGCTGTCTTTTACTGTCCAGGCACTGGGTGTTCAGACCTGCCTGCAGCTCTTGTGCTCAGCTCTGGGCTTTTCATATCTGCATGAATCAACATTTGCCACCCCACTGTCCATCTTCTTTTGCAAGGCATTAGTTTTCCATTAGATAGGACAGAGATGGCCTTGCTCCACTGTAAACTTCTTAAAATACAGTCTGTTCATGTGAATCAGGTTTCCTCTTGGGTATTGTTTGTTGACTTATCCAAAGGATTGGAGTAGATAGCCGTGTCTCCAATTAAAGCAGTGTTAGCTCTCAATAAAATAACATTTGTCAGTGCACCCACTGCTTTTTTCCAAGTTCTTGCCATTTGGATTTGGGTTCAAATAAAGGAGAATTATGGGATTGCAGCAGGAATTTTGTACTGAAAACAGTTTGTTCCTCCTTTTAAATCACTGATACTACCAAAGAGCTCTGAGCTCTGTTATGCAAGCTCAGAACATGCCTTTTTCAAGAATTTTGAACACAAACATGTTTTGGGGTTCTGTTTAATTAAAGAAGCAAATGAATTTTGAAGTGTAAATAAGCTAATGCAGATAATAGGAGTCCATGCCAATAATGGTTTAAGTAAGATGTGCTCAGTTGCAGATTGATGTAGGGTTTTTTTGGGGGGGGAAGTTGCACCAGAAATACTAAGAGAAAAAAAATGTGCAAAAATAACTTTCTTTGCTACCAGGTGAGAGAATATAGAAGAGAAAAGATGAGAAATCTCTGGGTTTGTACGGGCCTGGGGCTTTCAGGCTTGAGCCCTTGCAAATGTGAGTGTGACAGGAGGAACCCCAGCTGAAATGCTCCGTTCCCAGCAGCAGTGGCCAGAGGGAGCAGTGCAGGGTTAGCACAGCCTGCAGCCCAGAGAACCACTCAGTCCTGTGCTGCTCCTGCAGGACAAAGTTGTGTATTTACCACATCTACCAGTTAATGTCTTATTTAGACATTTGTCTTGCATTACTTCTTCACTTTCAGCACCTTCTTTGTGTTGTAAGTTGCTGAGTAATTTTAAAATGTAACATGTCCTCTGATTTTTCTGGGTGTGAGGGGGGGTGTGTGGTCTTTTCTAAAAGCACCTGATCCTCCAGTGACATTCTGCTGGCTTAGAATATGATAACTTTGAACAAATACATTTCACAGTGAATAAAATGATTTACCCAGTTCATCATGAGGAAATAGGCAAAGCTCTGTGGTGCAGAGCAGTCTTTGACACTATCAAGTTCTGTTACTCAACTTTTGCATAACTCAAAGCATTACCCAAGTTTGTGCCATTCTAGAAATCTTGTTACAAAAGTTTTCTTTCTCACTCCCTCACGCTCTGCTGACCAGGCAGCATCAAACCCCTCTTCTCCATGTGAAATCCTCTGGTGAATACCCTTTGCAGCTCTTGGTTTGGGGTTTTTCCAGCCATGAGAAATGTGTTCATCCTTTGACAGCCAGAGGTGCTCTCAGTTTGGTAGGTGTATTTTACCTTTATTTTTTTCTGTAAAATTTGTGCTAATTCTTGCAGATAGGAATGTTCATTGTAAAGGATAAAGTAAAATGTGTTTCACTGCTGCAGGAGAAGCAAATGGTCTGGCAGGGTTGGAGCCAGTGAGCAGAGTGATTGCTGACTCAGCAGATCTGGCTTGCAGGAATTTGACTGGATGTTTTGGGTTTGGAGCACAGATTTTGGTTTTAAACTTTTACTGGAGTTTTGTGTTTCAGCCCTGCTGCTTTGCCTGATCACAAATAGGTTCAGTGCAGAGCAGTACCCTTACTTTTGAAAACAGATACGGTGTCAAGAGTGTGATTGCTGCTTTCCTTATATTTGAGTCATCAGAAGAAAGTGCTTTTCAAAAGAAAATGTGCCACTTTGAGAAATCTCAGTCTCTGTGTTGATCAGGATAACAAGTAGGAATTCATTGCAAAATTCTGAATTTGGGATGTTTGCAAGAGACCTGTCTGGGTAAATGAGGCACATCCATGGGCAGCTGAGGCAGCCTGGGGGGAGCAGGGACTGCAGCTGCAGGTTGGTGTGTGGGGCTGTCTGGACCCCTGGAAATAACTCCCTGGGGAGTGCGATCCGTGTCTAGTGCAGGTGTTTAGAACTGCAGGTGGCAGAGGGGGAATGGACAGTTTGGCAAGGGCCACCATCCTGGCTTTCCCTGTGGGAAGCGAGTCCTGGTCCAGGGTATTGTGGGGTGCCTTTGGTGAGGAGCAGAGGGATGGAGGTTGTGACCTCACCCCTCAGAGTGAGGAGGTTGTGCCCAGCTGAGCATGGCTGGTGGCAGCTGGACTGAAGAGCTGCTTTTTGGGGCAACAGATCATTTCAGACTGCAAAAGGATGGGATAAAGAGACTTGACAACATACTCCCTCTCATGATAGAGGAGAATTCCGATAATCACAAGGCTGGTTTTGTCCATTTCCCATATGTCCAATTCATCTGAGGTCAGATTAAACTCTTACCTCCTTGGAACAGGAAATACAGGGCTTCCTGTTGTACAGAGCTCTGAGCTGCATGTCAGCTCTCGTTAGACAGAAAAGAGGAGGAATGCAATTAGCCTGCTGGATAAAAGGCAGGCAAAAGTCCCTTAACTCTGAAAAATCAACACTTGAGGAAGCAAACCACATGTGGAGAACAAATGCTGGAAAAAGCCCCGACTGTTTGGAACAAATGCCTTTATTACTTAAATAAACAGCAGCGTAATTTGTTGGAGTGACAGTGTGAGCTGTTCTGTGCCCTGTATCTGTAAGAAGAATTCACTGCTAACTTGAAAGCAGATGGTTTTGTATGGCCCTGGGTGGGTTTTCTGGGAAATGTTAGTTCTGTACTGCCATACAGGAACAGAAATATCCTAGTAATGCTGCAGCAGCCTAAAAGGAACGTGGATAGTGTAAAACAAGTATGAAATATGCTGTGTCTGTAGCCCATATTTCAGGTAGATTAAAAGCAGTCATGGATTTTTCATTTTTTTTTAAACATCCTCTGGGAGAACAGACATCTTCAAGTTCATTGGGATCAGGACACAGATGCCAATAGGCTCATAGCCAGGCTCTGTTGTGCATTCTTAGGTTTGAAAAGTACTCCCCTTCCTGCTTTGGAGACAAAACCCCTTTTATTCCATGTGTTTTGATCATTCATTTTTTGAAGCAAATGACGGCAAGTTACTTAAAAGACTTTTCAATGGTCTTTTTTCTCTCCTTTCAAGTAGAGGCACGATATCAGCACATAGCAGTGAGCACCTCAGCAACCCCGGTATTTCTGTAGAGTTTTAAGCAGATAAATGAGGGTGAGAATAGAGACCATTTTGTAACTTCCACCTCCTGAATGCCTCCTGCCTCGCTCCATGCTGATCACAGGTGAGCTGGTGCCTGTAGAACCACTCCTCTGCTTGTACCTTTTGTTCTCTGCCATGCTGTTGTTTGACTGTGTGTGTGCTACCTGAGTTAATCACATCACATCTAAATTTAGCTGTAATCTCTTCAGAACAGTAGCAGTAGTTGCAAAGTCAGAGCTGAGCAGGTCTCCCATATATTGCCTTACTGCAGCTTGGCCCTGGACGCTGCTGATGCTGAGGTCTGCAGGAGTACCTTTGAAATCTAAGAGCTCAGGTTGGCAAAGCTTGTCCTTGACCTCCACTGGGGCCTTCTTCTGCTGGGGCAGGGCAGGAGGTTGTCCCTGCACAGAGCCTTGTGTGCCAGGCCCGTTGCAAAAGGCACTGGGTGTGCTGTGGCACAGTCCCAGCTGCCTCAGCAGTTGGGTGCCCCAGGACCTGGTTCTCAGCCTTCTGTGATCTGCAGAAGTAACTGTACCAAAGTTTAAAGTGAGTCTTTAGTTTTTTAAACCTGAAAATGTTTCTTCATGCTGGCTGCAAGCACCACTCACACCCAGCAGCAGGGAACATGCAAGAGTGCAAGGACTCAAGTTGCCTGGAGATGTTTCCTGCAGCTGATTCTGTGCTGGCAGTCTTGCAGTGGGAGTCCTTTGCTCTGGAAGCCCCAGAAAGCTGCAGTGAATGAACAGAGTGTGTTATCTTTGCATTTGAGATAATACCTGGTGTCCAGTCCTGGCTCTGTGCTGATGGATAATCCTGGGCTGGCTCTGACACTTGGGTGCTTCTGTTTCCCCACTAAAGGAAGCACAGTGCCCCTCTTTATGATGCCCTACCTCCAGATGCTGCCTGACAGCTAATTACTACACTTACACAACAAAAACCAGATAAAAATGCCCTTCTGGGGAAGGGTGATGCTGCTCTCTTCCTCTCCCTTGTGGGCTGCTGTGGCATCAAGAGTGAGCAAGATGATCTCCCTCCTCCTCCTCCTTTCTCTCAGCAGACTGGGATGAGATGGGGTGGGCCCCCAACATAAGCACAGTTTTTCTCCTCCCTGCAAAAACTATTTACATTTTGTTGTACGGACTCAGGGTACTGTAATTCAGAAAGGGTAGCAGGAAAATGTGTCCTGCATCTCTGAATCACTAAGGAAAAGCAGCCAGCTTTGTTTTGTTTTTATTTTTGTTTTAGTAAAAACGCACTTCCCACTCTTAACTTTTGAAACTTCCACGTGGCACAGAGGGGGATCAGTTCCAGTTGATATAAGCCTGGATGAAGAGAGGGAGGAAATAACTTAATTGCTTTAGTTCAGCTGGAGTGGAGAGCAAAGAATCAGTGTCCCTTTATTTGGAATTCAGCAAGAAGGTCGTGTTGTTGGTGAGGACAGATCCCCTGCAGGTTCTGTGGAGGTACTGTCTGGAGCTCTGGGGGCATTCACAGAACAGGTGGCTTTATATTTAAAATAGGAACTCTGCTGTCAGGGACAAAAAGCTGTGTTGCTTTCTTGGAAGTATTGCTGCACTTGGAGCATACTGTGTTACCAACAGGGTGTTTCTGTGCTTTCACCAAGAGGGGGGAAATAAGGAATGGGAGGCTTCTGGGCTGAGTGGGGTGTGTGTGTGTGGTGGAAGGTTCTGGTGTTAGTGCTGTAATGTGGGGCTTAGAAGATAAAAAAGAGATTGGGTAGATGGGGTGTTAAAGCAAATTTGGGGACTCTGCCTCTCAAACATCTGTGGTTTCAGCCTATCGATCCCTGGTCCCAGAAGATCAGTTGATAGGTTGAAAACCAAGGGAGAGTTAAAGGGGAGGGAGATGAAATGCAGGAAAAACTGCTGATCTGTCACTCATAGCTAATTTGAACCAGACCCCCAGAGAATGGGAGGACATTCCCACCTGGGATTCAGATTTTGGGTTGAATGCAGCTAAAATCAAAGGTCTAGTCCCAGTGCAGCTCCAGTCTGCTGCAGGGAAATGCAGAAGCACACACCATCCCTGCTTCTCCTGTGCCAATTCCAGCACGCTGGCTTTTGGCATCGCTCACGGAGCCTGCGAACTATGTTGACAAAAAGTAATGGGAGATTGTTTATTTCCCAAGGCTTTCTGTTCAGTCTATAGCTGCTTCCTCTTTCCTACTCACATTTTCCCATATGGTGACTTTGGAAAATTCCTCTCCGATTTCGCTGGGAAGTGCAGGAAGCTCTCGTTGGTAGAGGGTTGCCTGTTGCTCTCTCTCGTTCTGCTGCTCACATCTGGAAAGGATCTGGCTCGGAAAGGGGAGACTGCTGTGAGCTCAGTGCATGTCACTGACATGGCATGAGCGAGGGAGCCTGTGGGGGCAACACAAATGTTCTCCATTCAGCTCAGTTCTGACAGCAAAGGTGAGTTTTTCAGCACTTTATTTGTTTTAAAAGCTGGGTTGTCAGAACCTGCAGCAGCAGCAGTCTGCCTTTCAGCTGCAGATTTTAGCAAGGATATTCAGTGCAACAAGCTCAGTTAAGCTGTTGATTTTAAGGGAGAATCCTCTCATTTGGTGGATGTTTTTCCTATCTCTGTGTGTGTGTCCTGTGAGAATGTGTGTGGACAATAATACAGATAACAGAGATGAGATACTTTGAAAGGGATTCTGTTGTTTATTGAGGTAACTGTGGTCACTGAGTAACTCCTGAAACTTCAGTTTACCTCTGGAGACCGTGCCTTTTGTTAGCACTGTGTCTGTGGGGCACCAAAGGGCAGGTGCCAGTTCTGTCTGGACTCAGAAAGATGCAGCTACAGAAGCCCCTGAGCTGGTTTCAGGGTCCCTTCAGCCTTTGGGTGGCAGGACCTGATCCAAAGCCCACCTACAGCCAGGGAAGAGGACTGTTTCTGGTGGGTTTTGAGCTAGTCCTTTAGAAAAGTTTCTTAAGAAGGCTTTGGATCAGGCCCATGGGAATGAGTTGAAATGGAGTGAGTTACCTCAGACTTTCTTTGAACTAAAAATCACAGTCATGCCTGGTTTTACTGCCTGCACTCCAGATGTACACAGATGTTCCTGTATCCAAATTGTCTCCCTGAGCAGCACTCACTCCAAAGGCATTGTAGCAGACAACAGTGTGCATGTTGATGGCAAGGGGGTGAGACTGCCTCTGCAATTTTATTGTGCAATACATAGAATATTTCCTGTTAATTTTTTAACATCCTTTCAGCTGCATATGGGGAAAAGTCAGCATGTTGCAAATCTACAGAGCCCAGTCCCAACCATGGTATAACTGTGTTTGTATTGCTACAGCAGGGCTGGTTGGGACCTGCATATAAAAGATTGTTTTCTTTAGTTTCTTTTGTAAGTATCTATAAGGGTAAACTGATATATAGGGAAAATACTTTGTTAGAGACCTGAGATACCTTCTGAGATTATTTTCCCTAAGATTTCTGAAATATTTTCTGGGATTAGGTCACCAAATGCTAAAGATTTTACTAATCCACTGTTGGCATACTCATATGGCCGGTTTTGATCTCACTGTTAATATTTAGCAGCCATACAAGGAATGTTTTATATTATAAAAGATATTAATTTCATTATATTCAGCTATTCAACTATATGGAAGCTGTGAAATAGTGAAGCAGGGGAAAGAGGGATCAAGCACACAGTATGAAATGCTTAAAATCACCCAGCATGTTTGTAGCAAAGACCAGGACAAAGGCAAAACCATCCATGTCTTGAGGGATGCCCTGCCTGTAGTCCCACCTGCTCCCATTTCTTCAAGTATAAGTCAATGTTTAAAGAAATGTAAGATTTTCATGACTGTGAAGAGAGCAGGATCTGTCCAATGCTCCCCAACCACCCAAAAATCTGTGAGAGCCCCTGGTGCAAAGCAGCAAAGCCCAGTGGGTGTAAATGGAGATGTGCAGTTCTGACAGCTGCCAGTCTGGCTCTGGGAGGTTCTTGTTTCTGATTCAAAGAAGGAATGTGGGCTGGCAGAGGTGAACAGAGTACTTATTTCATGTCATGAATCCGTTGTGCCTTTTCACCTTAAAACATCAGCCTAACTAATTCTCATCACTGTCGAATGCTTTTGATTAGAATAGCCAAGAGGATAAAAGACAAGCCATAACCAGCCCTGACTGCAAACCTTTACGTATGAAATCTGAGAAGGGCAACAAATGGGACCGAGGGGGCTCGGTTAGGGCCAGCTGGCTGCTGCAGTCGGTATCCAACTTCTGTTTGGATTATTTTAACCTGCTGCCAGAAAGATAAAAGCTGAACATGAGCCAGGCCTCTTAGGTTCGGATCAGCACTGTCCAAAATCCATAGGAAGCCCGTTTTGTTTTCAGTAGCCGTGAGGTTTTGTTGTTTTGCTCCGTGCACGTGTAGTAGCCCCTCCGAGAGCCACTCTTGTGCAGCCTCTGTGTTGTTTAAATAACGAGAAGAGTTTCTTCCTAAGCAAAACTGTGAGGAGCAGTGCGACCGACAGCCACACTGAACTAACACTGCATGAATCTCCGGGATCACCTGGCATTTCTTAATATGAAAAAAGCAATAAATAACCGGAGGCGTCGGGTCCGGTGCGGGGGATGCTGTGCCCGGGGCCCGCATCCCGCTGCCGCAACCGCGCTGAGAGGGCGTGAAGGCGCCCCGGGAGAGCGGGGCCGGCGCCGGGCTCTGGTCCGGGCCGTGCCCCGGGGCTGACCCGCTGTCCCGGCCCGCAGGGGCGATGCCGGCGGGCGGCCGGGCGCTGCTGGCGCTGCTGGGGCTCCCGGCGCTGCTGGCGCTGGGCTGCGCCACCCACACCCACACCGAGCCCGGGGGCGGCCCGGCCCCGCGGCCCGGCCCCGCCTGCCCCCGCGACTGCGGCTGCAGCCAGGAGGGCGTCGTGGACTGCGGCGGCATCGACCTCAAGGAGTTCCCGCTGCTGCTGCCCGAGCTCACCAACCACCTGTCCCTGCAGGTAAGGGCGCGCCGTGCCCGCATCCCGCCCTCAGCCCGCTCCCCTCAGCCCGGCCCTGCCCGCTCCCCTCAGCCCGGCCCTGCCCGCTCCCCTCAGCCCGGCCCTGCCCACCGGGAGCCGCAGGTGCAGCTCTCGACGGATGGGCCTGATAATCGGCACCAGTTCTCTCCCCACAGATCCAGGGAGGGCAAAAGATACGAAATTTTTCTCCTTGGTCTCTCCCAGCTTCATGAGAAGAATTTTTTGTCCGAACTAAAAATTGCTGTTTCTGGTGAAGGCCTTTCATTTTGAGGTGTCTTTGAGAAGGATGGTCTAAGTTACTTCATTAATGAGAATTTTCTGGGCAGCGCTGGCTGTTAGTGCAGGTGTTGCAGACACAGTGACCCAGTGCAGACACAGGGCCAGCCCGTGTTCCCTCGTGTCCCGTCTCTACCTCAGCACATGAACTGAGCAAGGAGCAGGGGTGGCACAGCCGGTGCCTTCCCTCACCCCCAGTGGCACTGCCTGTGGCAGGGACACTGATGTCATGCCTGCAGCAAATGGCTCCACTCCAGAGACCTCATGTCTTGTCAGGATAAGGACACGTAAGATTGTGAGATTCCAGCTTAAGGTAGAAGAAGTAGGATGTCCTGGACTGTCAGCAGGTTTCCATGCTCTGCTGTTAGTTAATTGATCCCCATGACCAGCATCTGGGCAGGTGTCCGTTCTGTGGCAGTGCTCTGACACCTGCAGGTATGGCAGGGCCAGAGCATGGCAGCCCTGTGGCTGTGCCACCTCTGAGCAGTGGCAGCAGTTCCAGGATTTCCAATGCCTTGCCCTTAATCAAGGTCTATTGCTTTTGGTCTATTGCTCCTATCTGCCAGTTGTGTCCAATGGATGAAATGTAGATTTTGTTCAGAGCTTTCCAGTTAGAAAAATGGTAATGTAAGCTGGCATGTAATGTAAGCTAGCATGTGCTAGCCATGGCTCCTGCCTCTGTTGCCAAAAGCAAAGCAGCTTTTTGGAGCAGCAGCTGTCACTTGCTGTGCACTGGCCTGGCTTCCAGCACAGCAGGACCTTAACTGGTCCCTTAGATGCTAAAATAGAATCACTCATTAATGGTCAAAATGTTAATCAGCACATTAATGAAAGTCTGATGGCAGTCACCCTTGACAGTGGGACTAGTGAAGGTGAGCCCAGTTTGACACTCCCTGTCTGTGACAAGTGGCTTTTCAAACAACCCAGGGATAACAGAAGTGATAAACTTGGAAATCCACCATGCCAGCCTGTGCTGCAGCCACGAGGTTTGGCTTTGGCAGATGGATTATGGGACTTGCCAGGCATAATCTCACTCTGTGTGCTACCAGTGCTTAAGGTATTCCTGGGGGTGAGCAGAAGTTCAGGTCTTCCAATGCTGTTGGATTTGGATGTCTTGGTTTTGAGATTTGAGTATGGCTCATTATGGAGAGGAGTCCTGACAGTGATTTGGCATGGTGGGGTCACTTCCAGATTTTATTCACAGTCTGGGTTTACTGGGATCCTTCTTGGATTACTTTGCTCACGATTAATACTTTCCATTTTCTTAGAATAACCAAATAGAAGAAATCTTTCCAGAAGAACTTGCTCGTCTTTACAGACTGGAAACTCTCAATCTGCAAAACAACAGGCTGACTTCAAAAGGTGAGCTGGCAGAGCCATGGGGTGGACAGAGCCTCCAGAACACCAGTGACACCTGATAAAGAAAGCCACAGAGTGATGGATTGACTTGGTTGGAGTGGTTCTCTGCAAGCCTCGCTCCTTTGGCCATCACACAGATGGTGGAGACACTTTATCATCTGAAACACAAGACTCAGTGTACAAGAATGCAGCCCTGCTGAACCAGGAGGAGACCTGGCAGCAGCTCTGTGTGCTGTGGCGTGAGATCTCCTCGTCCAGGAAACTCCCTCTGGTCCCTCAGGCTCTTCCATGCAATGCTCTGGGGAACCAGAAACCTCCACGTGCTCAGAGATTTCCTCCTGACCGACCTTGTTCAGTTCAGTCTGGGCAGGCAGTTAGTGGAGTTCAGTCCAGTTCTGTCCTCACTGAATTTGGTATAAATACAAATATATATTGCAAATAAGGACATTTCTACCCTCCCAAAACCATTCTGGTTTTAGTAGGCAGGTTTTCCTTGCTCTGCCATATGCTTATGAGGGAAACTTGACAAGAAGTTGATAAGGAAAGCAAAAGAAACAGGAATTGTAGTAAATAGTAAGAAAGCATGATACGGGATGCGAAAGATTTAATTGTTGTTAACTTGTGCATCCCATTTACTTGTGATCTGAATGCTCTTGCTTTCCTTACTGCAATGTCAGGGGACAGCCTTTATTGAGAATGTGGGGATATTACCCCTGGGCCCCAGGCACAGCACTCCTACACAGCATGGGGAAGGGCTGTGCCTCATAGGTTCAGCCTTTGGCATTATTACCTTGGGCCTTGTTCCTTTCACAAGCTGCAGTGCAGCCCTGAGCTTCCAAAGTGTTTTGACATGGGAAACGGCTTCACCTTTGACTCCTGGTTATCTCAGTGCCAGGGGAAAGTGTTACTTGCAGTGTTTCCATTGTGACAGCGATTGTGGTTGTGTGATCAGCTGGATGTGGAGTGGCTCAGCTGAAAATTAATAATTCCTGGGGGAGGATAAGCTGTGAGCTGGTTGCTGTGTGGATGGATCTCTCTATTGTGGGGAGCGAGGGAAGGGTTGTGACATGCAGATACTGGTGTGATTTTGGCTATGTAGTCATACATCAGATCCATTCATTAGGCAACCTCAGATTATGCCCTTGCAAGAAAAAAGATTTGCAGAATCATAAGCAAAGTATAAAAGAAACTGCTCAGTGTGGTTGCTGCAAGCACCAATAATCAGCTGTAGAGAGGGTCTGCCCAGCTCTGTCCTCGACCCCGGCCAGGGGGTTTGGCCACAAGCCTTGTATGCTCAGCATTCCTAATAGCCTTCCATTGCTCTTAACAGCCAGTGTTGTTTTGTGGCATTTTTAATTTAAAAAAACCCCAACAACAGGTGTGAGTCAGACTATTTCAGTGGCCATAAAAAATAGTTCAATCTCACATGAACAATACCTGAGAGAGAAAGCTGCCCCCTGGTATTTTCACTCAGAGGGGCAGTAAGGTGCCAGTGTCACTGATTAGTTATTCCTGTTTTTAAGGGTTGCCAGAGGAAGCATTTGAACATCTGGAGAACCTGAATTATCTGTACCTGGCAAACAATAAGGTAAGTGGCTCTGAAACCTTTCAGAGTTCTTTTCCAAATTGGTTCTGGAAGTTAAATGAGCAAGTTGTCAATTCTTCTAAAATGTACATACTACATAAGCAAAGTTTGCTACAGTGATATTCTAATGCAGGGCCATCTAAGGTCAAGACAATCAGTACGTGAAAAATTTAGAGGCTACACATGCAGGTCTATTTTGAACACTTATTTATTTGTGCAGCTGGTGAAAGGTTTTCTTTGTGTAGGGAGGTACAAAAAGCCTCTGCATGCATAAAATACCACTGTCTTCAGTGGGCTTTGGATCAGCTGCATGCACATTTGGTTTCTGCCTGCATGCAATTAAACTGTGAGGGAATGGTGTGAAACGCTGACTGTCTCATCAGATTTGGCTGTTCACAAAAATTTGTGAACAAACAGGTCTTAGTACCTGTGTTTGAGCCATCAAGATCTGTCAAAGGCTGTCCAGTTTTCCCTGACTCCCATTAATTAATTATTTCAGCTGCAGTGGCAGGAGCTGAAATGCTTTTTCTAAAGGAGAAGATCCTGAGTGCTTTCCTGTTACTGACCCAAGTTGGATGTCTTGACAGAAGCCCATCTTTCATGCCAAGGCTAGGAAATGAAATAGCTTCTCACATACCCTTACATCTGGGTGGTTCCCATTATGGCTTTCTTTATCCCCAGTGATTGTCCACAAATATTTGTTACAAAAGAAACTGGGCTACCACAGAAAAATATAAGTTAAAACATCAGACAGAGCTTCTTTGTCTACAAAAATCCTGCCCTTCCATCCCACCCTCCCTCTCTCTATATATATATTTATGTCTTTATATATATTTTATTATCCTCTTAAAATCTGGGACCATTTGATGTTTTAATTAAATACATGTGGCCTCATTCAGATTTCAGTCAGTCCAAGACACATCCAGAATCACTCCATACAGAAATGTATGGAGTGATTGAGAATAGAACCCATTCCTCAGTACAGTAACATTGTGTTCTTTTCTCCCTTTCAAGCACCATTTCCATGTAACAATCTTGGCAGTTAATAATCCCATAAAAAGGAACAAGCCAGACTGTGACTAATATTCCAGAACCTTGCACTCTGATTTTCCCTGTGTGACAAAACAAAGTGTTTGGTTTTTCTGGCTCTACGGCAGAGAAAAAAGAGTCCCAAAAGAAATTGCCAACATCAGCGAATGTCAGAAGCAGTTATAGTGAGAAGTTGTGCACCCACAAAAATAACACATTTCTTTATACATCCCAAGCCAGGACAAACCAGATTGGCTTCAAACTGCAGGAAACACTGCGGATCAAGTTACTGCGGTGTCTGGAGGAGAGCAGGGATTTGCTGGTAGTTTGCTCCTTGTTTTATGGATTATCTTAATGCGTCTTTATCTTCCATTGTGATCCCATCAGATGTAGCTAAACCATCTTTCATTAAACTGGCATAGGTGGTCAGAGAAAAGAAATGTAACGGACTGAAAGCCTTCTGTGGGTTATGAGGGACAAGCACTTCAAGGAAAGAAGGGATGCTGTAGTTTCCTTTCTAATTTTTCACCCCATTCTCATGTTTTGCATCTCTCATACAGTATGCACAGTAAAGAAATTATTTCACCAAACTATGGGTCCTGAGCTGTCATGGTTTACTCTAAGCTGGTGACAGAAGGTTTTGCATTTCCTCCTATTCCCAAAGTGATCCAGGATTCACCTGGATCCAAGACTTCTGTTTTATATCAAAGCTTGATCGAAGCAAGAAAACTTGTTTCAAAACTGGCAATAACTTTTGTATTAACCTTCTGAATTCGTTAGCTAACAGTGGAGAAAACACTCTCTGCCATATGGAAAGGAAGGTCCAGCAGTAAAGCTGCAAGGAAACTGCAGCTGGAGAAATGCAGATTGTTAGGCAATAAATTGGACAAAGCTGTTCAGTCAACTTCATTGTTGCTAATACTTACAACAACCCAGCATTAATCCTTCAAGCAATCAACCAGTGGAATCAGTCTCATGACCGAGTGCTGAAATGCCAAAGCAAAGCCCTGAGCAAGTGAAAACTCTTTCTGGATGAAACTTCTCTTTCCTCTTTCTTGTGGTTCTGATGTCTCTCATTCCACATGTCTGAGCCATGCCCTTTGTTTTGTATAAAAGTTATGACCTAACTGACCATATATCTGGAGAAGAGCTTTAATGTGCCACCCTGTGTGAAAATGATTAAGTGTTGTTTCCTGTGTCTGAATTCTCAATATTATTATGTCACAGTAGAGACTTATTTGAGGCACTGTCAGACCTTCCTAGTCAGAGAGGAGTGAGTGCCTTTATCCGGTTCCCTGGTAGCACATCTCCCACATCAGGAGAGGGGAGATTGCCATGAAGCCAAGAGCAGTGCTGTGGCAACTGCAGTAATGTGCAGGATGCTTAATTCCACTGCTTGTGTACCTGGGAATACTGACAGGAGTGTCATTTGTGGGAGGGGTCTCTTCTGTGTTGGGGACCGTTAAACAATTAAGGCAGGCTAAGGGTGGAGATTTCAGGACAGCTGAAAATGAAGAACAGTAAATAATGTACTCTCATCCTTGTTAAAGAAAGGACTGCATTATTAGTCCAGTAAATTGGAAGTTCATGGCTATAGTTCATCAATGCACACTTGACACACTAGATGGGTGTAGACACCCTTTAGGTAAATACATAGTTTAGGGCTTGGGTTAGGCAGTTCCCCAGTGAAGTGTCTGTTCTCTCACACAGTGTTCATATCTTAAATATTTTTGGTTTTACACTATCATAAAAAATTTGAAAAATATGTTTTCTCCTCCTGTGAGTCTTGCTGTGCCTTGCTGGCTGAAAGGACCAGGTTCTGTTTCACACAACAGAGCTGTGAGGAAGAAGCTTCACAGATTCCATGAACTTCAAGCTGGATACAGATTTCATCATCCCAGTTTCCTACCTTGATCTCAGAGCTTTAGGTGACAATGAATTCAGTATCTTACTAGAAAAGTTCTCTCCAGAGTGTACATAAAATACTGGGTGGTCCCAGCAATGAACACCTGTAACCACAGGGACTGCACCTGCCCACTGCAACTCAGCGCCTTCTGTTTCTGTGCCCAAGGACTCTCTGTTACACCACTGTGTTAATAATTTGTCTCCCAAGGCCTTAATCTTCATGCAAAAATGTTATGGGTTTATGCTTCCCAGAAAACGCTCCTCCAGCCTGGATTGTAACCTGTGTTCCTGGTTTCCAGGTGAATGACTATGACTTTGCTATTAACAGCCACTCAGTGAACCTGGCTATTGCATTATCTGGATGCTCTGTAAAACTGAGCTTAATTTGATCAGTGCTCTTCACTCCACCAGTTTGTTCAGGTGCACATGTTTCTAGTGTTATTTTTCAAAATCCCTGATAAAACCAGCAAGAGACCAAGAGCAAACACGTTCAATCCTGTACCTGTTGTCAACTGTTAAGTTTTGGAGACAGAACCTTTCTGTATTTTCTGATACATCACTTGTTTATTGAAAAGGTATCACTGTACAGTAGGTCTTTGCTTTGAAGTCCCTTTTGATAACCCAGCTTTTCTGTTCTTTGGGAACCTGGATCCTCCATTGCAGAGATCCCTGTAAATGGATGCAATGGAACAGATACATGAAGTGACAGTTGCTCTCCATAATATCCTTTCAGAAGGGAGTAAGCAGTAGGTCACTGTGAGGTGGGCTGGAGTTTCTTGGCACAGCACACTGAGGAATTAGGAACAATAATAAGCAAAGTGTTTGCTCTCTGAATAACAATCTCTTGATATCTTCCACCAAAAAGAGACAGGACTCTTCCAACCCAAACAAACATTCTCATATCTTAGAGCAAAAGTCTGTCTCCTTCCTGGAGAGATTAGTGAGTGGGGACAATTTGTTTTTGTTCATGCAATCCACATCAGTTTAATTTATTTTTGACCGTTTAGAGAAGATAAATTTGCAAGTGTTTTACTGCTTGTCTAGTACTTGGTTAAAACATTTGTTGCATTTAATTTGAATTCCCCTGTATATTTCTTTTCCAGCTAACAGTGGCTCCGAAATTCCTACCAAATGCCTTGATCAGTGCAGATTTTGCAGCCAATTATCTCACTAAGATATATGGGCTCACATTTGGACAGAAACCAAACTTGAGGTAAGGGACTGGGAAGTAAAACAACAGTGTTCTGCCACTGCTTGGATACAACTGGTGGGTGATAAGAAACTATCTGGCTAAGCCATGTCATTGCCCACTTGTGTTTTTTGGAGAGAAGTTGACTGTTTATTATTCTCAGCATGAAAGATCAAATAATCTCTCAAACAAACACATTCCAAGGGCTTTTACTGCCTGCCAGACACTTTTGCATATATAAATGAAATTGTCCCCCTTTCATCTGTGTGTCAGTTATAAGAGTTGAAAAGAAGAGCTTTAGTTCCTCAAAATGGAGAATAATGTTTAGAAATCTCTAGTTTTATTCTAGTCCATTCTTTTTTGAGAATAAAATGGGGTGGAGGGTGCAGTACTCAGTGCAGGTGAGTATAACTCAATTCCATGAAAGCTTCAGCAGCTTCAGAAGTGGCTCACACCCTCAGATCTGGTGTCAGAGTCTCTGCTGGTTTCAGGTGGGGATTTGCTCAGCTGGATCCAGTGCAGCACATTGGCCCATCCCAAATTCAGATGCACACAGACCACCTCCTGGGAGACAGGGGCTTTTCCAAAGGGGCTCTGAGTAATCTGGATGGACACTTGGCAGCAACTCCTGCAGAGACCTCCCAAACTCTGCTGGGAGCAATTTGTGCAGCCAAGTTTGGAAGCAGTTGATAGCAGCTGACCCAGCTGAGCCCCTGCAGTCCAATCTTGTGATGGACTGAGGAACTCTCCATTCCCACTGCAGCTCCCCTGCACTTACTGGGCCTTTTGTCTCTTGGGCTCTTGGAACCTGAAAAGGCTGAGTCACTCACAGATTTCTGGCAATATCTCATGATGAAAGAAACCACATTTACACATGTTTTCTTCCTTAATCTGAGGTGCAGAAGCTGCTGTGTTTTGATTTCATATTGAAACTACTGACTCTTCTGAAGTGATTCTCACACTCTCCTATACCAACACTAATTTTAATCAGAATGGGAACTCACTGATTTCCAAGATTGCTGATATAAAATCCTAACACAGTTTTTTCAGTTGTTTTATTTGCCCCCAGCAGAGTTCATGGTCTCAGACTGATGATTTGGAAAGCAAGGTTTTCAGAAGGGCAAATGTTTGTGAGTTAAAAGTACAGCTGACCATGCAGGGTAAACAATATTTCCAGTGTGGCTCTGAACTCCCTGGAGTGTGTGATCACACGATTGTATTTCCATACTGAGCCTTTCCTTCCTTCCAGAAGGATGTTGCCAAGTTCTCTGCAACTGGTGGAGAATCCAAGAACAAGTTGAAAAAGCACACTTTGATACTGTGCTCTTTTGCAGTTTTAACCTGTCCCTACAAATTTGGCTGCCTGCTGCATCTTGGGGTAAACACAGGAAAGGGAGAGGGAATCAAAGTCAGTAAAAAGAAGTCAAATGAATTCATTTAGTTGAGCCAGTGAGAAGCAGGAATAACTTCCCAGGGGTGCATTGTTTTGTACAGAACTGAAAGCTGTATAAGAAAGAATGAATCAATTTTTGAAAACCTGATTGGAAAAACTCTTCTGTGAATATTAAAGACTTAAAGTAAGAAGAGCAAAGGGAAATAAGAAACCCTGTTTCTCTCAATCCCAGAGGCCGATTAAAAACCAAAATTCTTCCAGACTAAATCTGCTGTCTTTCTGTCAGTATCTTATGCCTTTCTGAGTTCTAGGAGAGAGACTGAAATTTGTATTCATGTGCAGGTTTGGATTTTGAATAGACTTAGATTTCAGAGAGTAGTGGGACCAACCACTTGGTGTTGCATCTACATCCCTTGCTAAATTAAAGGGCACATTTTAAAAACAAATCCAATTAACTCAAGGAAAGAAGAAAATACTGAAATTTAGTTCTAAACAGCTTTCTCCCAGGAAAAAAACCAACTCCATATCTCACTATGTGTTGAACTTCATCTTTTATCTCCTTCCCATAGATCTGTGTATCTTCATAACAACAAACTTTCAGATGCTGGGTTACCTGATAACATGTTCAATGGCTCTGCTAATGTGGAGATACTCATCATGTCCAGCAATTTCTTGAAGTATGTTCCAAAGAATCTCCCTCCAGCACTGTATAAATTACACTTACAGGTAATGACAACAAAGTTTTGTATTCCTTTAGGGTTGTGACAAAGTTCTGTGTTTGTGTGGGATTCAGCCCACACAGCCAAGCCGTTCCAGTGCACTTGGAAACATCCCCAGGCCCATTTTCAGTCTCCTCTGCTATATCCTCAGCTGTTGCTGTCTCCCATGTCCTTCTTTTGTTGTCCATGAGTAACTGTGTGTTTTTGCAAAACACCAGGATGCTCACAGGGGACAGAAATGCTTTTCTGTGTTTTCAGGGTAACATAATTGCAAATGGCATTGTTGGTCTCTTCCCTGCGTAGAATGACATTAATACATAGCAGAGCGAGAAGGTGGATCATTCTCCAGTTAAGTTTGCCACTGGTGCTGTTTTTCCTGACAGCTGCTTACCCACCATGTGCTGGCTTTGCTCACTAACTCCTTTCACACAGACACTGTTTCCCAGCAGCAGTGACTGCTGTTTGCTACTGCCCTGGCAGTTCAGACAACACACTTTGGATCAGTGATTCTCTGCTGCTACAGCTTCTCCAGCAACAGTGCAATAGCAGAAGTTATGGTATGAACTACTCTCCAGCATTTTTAATTCCATGTCATCTGATTTTGATAAAAAGGCTTCATCCTGTCTGTGCTGGAGATCCCAGCCCTGTAACAGTGGCAGAGCTGCAGCGGTGGGGAGCCCTGGATCCGCCTGCTCCGAGTGCTGACAGCTCCTTGGACATGGTTAGGCTGGAGCCTGTTATCAGCCCCTGCACTAAGGCAGTTCTCTGCTGCCTCCCAACTCACTTTTCCCTTGAAAGTTTCACCACTTATTCCTGTTAAAGTCTTCTAGAGAACAGGCTTCTGCAGCTTGAAGAGCAGTAAAGGCAACCAGTCCGATCCTTTAAATCACTGAATTTCTCTGCAAAGTATGAACTTATTAGTCCTCTGCATTTTTTTGACATTTATAGGTAATCATTGTCTCCCAAAGGGATCTCTGAGGATTTTGCTTTGAACTTGTCTCCTTCCCTGCTGTCCTCAGTTGTGTTAAGGGCAGAGATGCTGATGAGAGAAATGAGTGTTTTATTTGCTGTTACAGCAGTTACATTTACCTTGATATTTTGACTGGGGAAAAACAGGACAATGGGAAATGAGAGACAGCCAATAGTGGACCAAAAGTGTCTGAAAGCTGTACTTATGATGTGACAGATCTTTTTTCTTTTACTATTCATTGAGACACTTGGCCAAAATCTATCTTTGGTGATATCTATATTAGGTGGCACATGCATCTGGTCCAGTCTGTCCATCCCATCATTGTGTGTACATGGATCAAGGGAATTTTAACAAGTTTGGTGTCAGTGTTTTATATATCCTTTTATATATCCTAGAATTCCTGTATAGAATTTCTAAGTGGCATTTAGTTCTATATTTTATTTGTGTCTGCCTGCTGGCTACTCCAAAGCCACACTAAGGCCATGGGAGTAATTAAACTCAGGAACTGTACCTCTGGGAATGACATTAATGCTGGAAGGATGGCTGATTCCCAGCTTCCAGCCTAATTCTTCTTTATGGTGAAATCTGTCTTACAAGACCCAGAAATTCTGAGCAAACTCCAGAGGTGGTTGCCTAAATTACATTACACATTGCACATAGGTGGAAGACTATGAATGCAAAATAAAACTGTCTGGCAGGCACAGAGCAAATTCTGCCTCCTTAGCCCAAAGGTTCCATGGGGAATCAATAAAAACAATTTGTATTATTTCAGCCTGGTATTTGTATTTATTTGTTCAGTGGGATTGTAATGCCCCCTGAAATATCTTATGTCTAGCCCTCTTGAAGGTTAACTGCCTGTGTAAGCTGAACAGAACCTGAATGTCCTGTGTCGATTCATGCCAAGTAATGTGCTTTGTGCTCTAGAGCAACAAGCTGGAGAAGATTCCCAAAGGAGCCTTCAGTGACCTCACAGGTCTGCGGGAGCTGTACTTACAGAACAACTACCTGTCTAATGAGGGAATGGACAACGAAACCTTCTGGTGAGACTGAGCTGTGCCGCTTGTACCTCTGTGTCTGTGCCCCCTGGGGTACAGCTGTACATCCACTGAACACAGGACACCACACAAATCAAAGTTGTTAAAAGCTGAATGACACTGTGCATTTCCCTGCTGAATCTCAGATGCTGCCGCTCAAAGGCAGAGGTCTGAGTGAGTGCTTGCAGAATAGTTTTATACAAAAGGCACAGACTGCACCACCCCCTGACTGCCACAGCCCCAGTCCCAGCAGGTACTAAGTGCCCTCTGGGAAAAGCCACCTGGAACAACGCTGGCAGCCAGCCTCTGTTCTTCCAAACCAGTCAAAACTGAGGTTGCTCTGGACTTTCCAGTTTCCAGGGCAGTTCAGCACTTCACTGGAAGTCAAGGCCAGACCTTCATCTTTGCTGAAGCCACTTCTGTGTTTCTGTGAAGGAGACTTGAAAGCAGCCACAGACACACAGTTGTGAATTGACCTGGCCCAGCTGTGCCCCAGTGCAGGAGACTGGAGCAGGCAGGGATGCAATGGTGCTGCTCAATAGCCAGATGGCTGCAAAAGCTTTGCTACAAACTGGTGCAACAGAAATAGCCTTTGGCTGTCCTAAATTTAGCCTGGGACTTAGCACTTGGAAAAGTTAACAGTTATTTCTCTGTTTGCTCTGAGTGTTGCCCTTGTTTTACCTGAAAATCCAGACCACATAATTGGTCCTGCGCATAACTTAGTTCTGCAAACTTTCCTGATCTCCAGACATGAAAATGTATCAAACTGTGCTTTCCTTTTCCATTTCCCATTCCCAGAAACCTCCCTTAGTAGCTCACTATATCTGTGCTGAGTCCACCTCCAGGTCATGTTGGACATATAATCTCTGTTAAGAAGTTCCCAAGCTGGGGAAACCTTACAAATTGCAGCAATGCAGTTCTTTACCCAAAGAGTCTATTTATTCATTCAGACAATGCTTGGATAGCTGTGAATGGCAGTGTAGTAACCAATAAGTAATTTCTGTAATGCATTAGTTGTCACATTTCCTGGACACTTCCTAGTCACTTGTAGTGGGTTGTGTAGTGCCATGCAGATTGAAAGTCTCATTTGTACTCAGAAACTGACTTGAAATACAGGGAATCCAGCATTCCTCAGTCCTGGCATATAATACCATTGATCCACATCCAGTTGGTATAAGTGGTTGAACTGAGGATTTAATTTAGCTTCAACTGAGACCATGGAATCCAGATTCAGTAGCTTACACAAAGCAGCTCTAGTCCTAACTCACTTCCATAATGCTGGAGGGTCAGGAGGAGTTCACTACCTTAGCCCAGGACACTGAGTTAGCGTTTCTGCTTTACATAAGAGGAACATTTCATCATCTAAAAAGCAGACCTGCTTTTCAGTTTCAATATATCCTTTCAGAGAGACAGAAATTCCTTCTGCTCAGGCTTTGTTTCTGTGAAACTGGGAGCTAAATTCCTTGCTCTGATGGCTCTCCTGTGGCACCTTCCTCGTGACAGTTCTCCACCGAAAGTGCTCCTGTGTTGCTGTCGGTGGTGTCAAAGGAGAGAACAGTGACTGCAAAACTCAGCCCTGTGGCAGTCTGGATGTCTGTGGACTCTGGCAGGTTTCTGTGGCTGGTGTGGCTGGGGAGCAATGGCAGTGCCTAGTCTGAATGCCTAATGGCAATACAGGAGCTCGCTGTTTTGCTGTGCTCATCTGTCATACCAGGAGACAAAAAGGACAGTCAGTAGCAGGAGCTGTCCTGGGTAAAAAGACTCTAAAGCAAAGATTGTAAAATCCTAGGGGAACTTGGTTATCATTTCACCTTGCCAAATCTAAATGGAGAATGTTTTCTTTCCTTCTTTCCCAAGGAAATTGTCTAGTCTTGAATACCTGGATTTGTCCAGCAATAACCTCTCACAAATCCCAAGTGGTTTACCTCGAAACATCGTCCTCCTCCACCTGGAGAAGAATGCAATTAAGGTGATTGACAGAGATGTGCTGACCCAAATTAAGAACCTGGAGTACCTTCTGCTCCACAATAACAAACTAAAAGCCCGAGGGATTCACCCATTAGCCTTCCAGGGCTTAAAAAAGCTGCACACTGTCCACCTGTACAACAACATGCTGGAAAGGATTCCCAGTGGGCTGCCCCGGCGCGTGAAAACACTTATGATCCTTCATAACCAGATCTCTGAGATCAACAGGAATGACTTTGCTACCACTTACTTCCTTGAAGAGCTGAACCTGAGCTACAACAAGCTCAAAAGTCCCCAGATCCATCGGGAGGCCTTCCGTAAGCTGAGGCAACTAAAGTCCTTGGATCTTTCTGGAAACAATCTCCACACGGTCCCCTTTGGCTTTCCAAAGAACTTGCAGGTCCTGAAGCTGAAGGAGAACGAGATAAGCATCATCCCAAAAGGGACTTTGTCTGGGATGACAAAACTGCGGGAACTCTATTTGAGCAACAATAAACTGAAAGTGAATTCAATTTATTCAAGAGCTTGGAGAGAACTCAGCAGTCTCCAGGTAGAAACAACACCTTCTCTAGTTGTTGTAGTGATGCTGATGTCCTTATCTGTCTGTCTGCCTAAGCCAAACTGCATAACACCAGTACTAGATGTGCTTGGGCTTGCATTGTAAGTGCTACATACTCTGTTTCTAGATAGAAATGATGTGCTGTTGTGCCAGAGGTGGGTACCTCCCACTGCTGGCCAGGGCACTGGCCCACTGTGGACTGCTAATTCTGGGAAATGTAAAGACAGCTTTGTTTCTGAGCCCTAGCAGTGTCCTATATTTTCAGATAAACATTAGTGAATGTTGTCATTAAAACTGAAATTAGGCCTTTCAAATAGCTTGTCTCCCAAAAGATTTAAAATCAGCTCTGAATAGAGACAGCAGGAGGAAGGAATGCATAAACAAAAACACTCTTAATTCTCAAAGCCCCCACATCAGCTTATAGTCAGACAGGCCAAGCTGTAGGATTTAGCAGCTCAGCTGGCTAAGGCACCTGGATAGCAGCTAGGAGGTCTGGATTCAATCAGCAGTCTTCTCATTTGCTTAATTGTTGGAGAAAGTTAAACACAAACCATAAGGCAGGCTGGAACAGTCACATTTGTGCTGTGCAAGATGACCTTTCACAATCGTTACACTGGCTGAAGGATTTGTCTGCATTTCCTTTCAGGCAACAGCCCCTTTCCTGCAGTGGAAGGCATTACTTGTGCCATAGGGCAGCCACTGCAGGTTCATGTGGGCACTGTGCAGGCAAAGAGTGCACATCCCAGAGCAGGTCAGGGACAAGGGACATGGAGCAAATGGCACACTGGCCCCAGTGTGTGTCCAGACAATCCAAACGTTAATCTGTGTGAACACTGCCCTTTCTGTTGTTTCTGGGACTAAACAATAGCTCGTTTTTCAGTTAATGTGAATCAGCAATGCAGCAACAGTATCTGCAGAGCTGTTGGTTTGCATCAGCTGCAGATTTGGCCCATGGTTTAATAATACACTTGGCATTTGTTTGGTGCCTCACTCACATGTGTCTGTGTGTGTGTGTGTGTGTGTGTGTGTGTGTGCAAATATACCTAACATGAAAAGTAGCCTGGAAGGAAGATGCTGTTGAGAATTACAGATGCTGAGATTGTTTTCCTGCAGTACCTTAATAAAAATATAGGTTGTTTTATTTTTCAAACAAAATTGAGATCTGTTAGGCAGCTTGACTTGGTTAGAATAAGCTTTCTTTGTTGGAGGGCCCATTCCAGCTACTTCATGGGACTTTTATTCTACTGTCACTCCTCAGTGTCAAGCCACAATAACGTGTTGGAGAATCAAACACTGGTCCTGCAGTTGGACCTACCCCCCAGCAAACCCCATTCCCATCAAACAGGATTCAGATAATAGCAAACGCTTAAAACTCAGTGGGACTAATGGTTCATTTTTGGCTGGTGCTTTTCTTTGGAACAGTGTTACTGTTGGTCAGTTGTTTCCATTATAGTTATGGCTGAGTATTTTTCATCATTAAGGGCTTAACTGTGCAAGTGGTTTCTGAGTTGGTGCACTGGAGTGCATTTGACTGATAACCAGCACATAAGATCCTGATCGTGCAGGTACTCAGTAAAGGCTTCAGTCCTCACTGTTTCCATGGAAATCACTGCAGACTTTCTGCAACTGCAAAGCAAGACTTTTACATAATGCGCTTGGCAGCGCTGGGTTAACAGTTGGACTCAATGATCTTAAAGCATTTTTCCAACCCAAACAATTCTATGATTCTATGATAATTGTTTGCCAGACTGGCATTGTGTGGGGAATAAAAACACTGGAATCATGTTGTTTGCAGAAGTGTAGCTTTGAATAGTGTGTAAGTAGTGTGTGTCAGCTTGGTGCTATGAAAATGCTGCAATACAGGGTAACAAAACACTGCTATCGATCTATTCTCTTGCATAAAATTAAACAGAGGAGTGATAATGACCTTTAGTCCTGATGTCTTCCTCCATGTTAGAATGTTTCCAGATGTTTTTATGTGTAGCTGTACCTAGTTCCTAACCTTAGCCAGGGAAGTGTTTGCAGTAGCAGCTTCCAAGAAATTCACATGCATATCTCAAACCCAGCCTGTTTTTAATTTACCTAAAGCAGGCATAGGCTAAAGCCTGGGGACAGAGATAAAGAAATGTTGGAGCTCCAAAACAAACCAGCATGATGTCTGATGTGAAATCAGGATGCTATGCAGTGTAAGAGAGTAGAATTGTCTTGGCCACACTTACCTAGATGCAAATTAGAGGTAGAATAAATTAGTTTATGCTATAATAAATATCACTTCAAACTTAAATCTCTTCTAGAGTGTTTATAATATTTAAATTCAGTTATTTATTTGCCCCTTGGTTGTCTCTTCGTTGCAGTCACTAGACATGGCTGGCAACCAGCTGACCTCCATCCCATTGGGCCTGCCGGAATCTCTGGAATATCTCTATCTCCAGAACAACAAGATCACAACGGTTTCAGAGCATGCTTTTGAATCCACACCCAAAATAAAGGGGATTTACCTCAGGTAAGGTCCAGTTTCCACTTAAAAACACAAGATTTGTTTTCTTCTTTGTCCACTTTATAATTGCTTACTTTCTAGGAAGCGTTTAAAATGCTAACTTTCTAAATAAGCAACTTTGTTTTATAGTAATATGTGAGGAAACGATGTTCATCTGCTCAGGAAAGACAGGGATACACATAGTAAGCTCTTTCTGTTCAGAGAGCTTGTCTTTTCTATGGTTATTAGAATGGATTGGCATGTTAGTAATTCTAGGAAATTAATGTTTAACATTGTGTCATATTCCAATATTCAACTGTGAGCCAGAAGTTTACAGTCCACTTGTAGGAGCGCAGCTTTGCCTGTGCCTGTTGGCCCTGGATTTTGACAAAATCCCCCTCTGGTGAGGGTGTGTGACTGACCTGGAAGTTGTGCACATTCCCTTGATAGTTTTGTCAGAAATAAGTGGCAAGTTACAACTGTGACAGTTACGTAACTAAGATTAGAAGCTTCACTGGGTTTCTTCCCACTCTGTCAGTTGGATGAGGATGTTTTTTTATAGGATACTGACCTTTTTTACATGTACTGTAAACTCACAGTAATGTAACTGATTTTAAGTAGAGCTTTATACCACAAGAAGTGAAGCAAGAATCTGTCCCACTAATATATTCAGTTTTAAACTGATGGCATATTATTGAAAATATTTATTAGAAGTATCTTACCAATCCCTATAGAATATTTGGTTCAGCTGGTCCAGTGGATGTGTTCAAAAAGCTTAGTCTGCACAAGACTAAATATGGTCTTATTTTGTCTGTATGCAGCTAAAGTGCCCTGTAGTTCTGAATAATTCTGGAGCATACCTTTTTGGATGAATGATTCCATACCAGGCAAATGAAATTACAAAGTCTGGTGTAAATTAGAGCAGTCTGTCTATTCAGCTGCTCACATTTATGAGATTTTAGTGAATGCTTGGATGTGAACCAGAAACCACATACCACATTCTATATTTCTATATAAAGAAGAAAGGAATTTGCAAAACAGTTTTGCTAACATATTTAGGAGGCAACTCCACCCAAGCTAAGTCATATTTTTTAATGGGAGACTATTAATCACTGTGAAACAATAACATACATATGGAATATTAGACAGAATATGATTTTAAGCGTGTTCACAAGTCGCAGACCAAGCAGTAAATGTGAGAGGTTCTTAAACTGCAGATTAGTTTATTTGTGCTCCTGGAAACACAAATAACAGCTGAAAAATTGCTGCATGTTGTTTTTTTCCTAAGGAATACTTGGTACCAATATTTTGAGTTTTGTGGGTGAAGAACTGAAGTATCAAGGGGTGACAGAGAATCTCATGAAAAACCAAGCTACACTTTGAAATGTGGGTTATGGAGCAGATGACTTTCCTCTTTGGGAAGGAGAAAGCAGAATAGCAAGAGAAAGAATTTTTGGGGGAGGAATTCCAATATAATGATTTTGTCTCCTTCCCCCATCCAGAGGAGTCAGCACTTCTGGAGTGCTGTTGTGGGTCAGTGTAAAGACAGAGTAACTTGGGTCAGTGGAAAGTTAGAGGAACTCTGCAGGATGGTTTCCTCCAAGTCTCCTCATTTCTGTGTTGGATATAAAAAGTGGGTTTATTTTAACAGGAGGGCCTTTTTATTTGTTTACAGGTTTAATAAGATTGCAGTTGGAGCACTGAAAGAAAGTACCTTCCAAAGCCTAAAGCACTTACAGGTACTGGACATTGAAGGGAACCTTGAATTCAGCAACAGTTCAAAGAATAAAGATGATTCAGAAGAGGAAATGGAAGATGAGGAAGAGGAAGAAGAACTGAGATAAAATGTGAACTCGCACAATCACACCATGTGGGAGGTAACAATTGTAGTTCAAGGATTCAGTTCTCAGACTTTTGTGCAAATAATTCCAGTTTACACATATGATTAAAGCATAACAAGGGTGATCGAGCCCTGGACTCAAAGACTTCCACTAAGACATGACTGTGAATTGCAAATTAAGAAGGATTGAAAATAAATTATTTTGTAAAATGGAACAATCATTATCTGTGTTTTATCAGAGGCAGTGGACTGTTCACTAGTGGCTTCTGCTTATGGCCACAGCGGGCACAACAGTTAAATATGACAGTCCTTGTTTACTAATTCTGATAACAAAAAATGAAAAGGTATCTCATGATAACTTTTAAGCAGGTAGTTCAAAAGGAAAACAAAGAACAAACTGTGAAGTTTACTCATGCAGAAGCCCATGTGAAATGGATTTTAAAAAATTATGCAAATTAAAGTAAGATTAGACTCACTGTCTGTTAAACATGGCATTAAGATTACAGCCTGTCTCAAACAGTACTTAAATCACTGACCACTTGGAGTGGGAAAATAATGCTATACTTGTTACATTTCTTATGGAAAGAATAGTCTTTCTAGTTGAATCTCTTATACTCAACTGCAGAAGAGAAGATGAAGGGAGAATAAAGTTTGAAGAGCATGCATTTTTCCATAAGAAAAGTGATCTGCTTAATGTATCTCTTAAGCATCTGATATTAAAAGAACAATGAGGTTGAGGACTACTCTTTACTTCTGGAGGTTTAAACTTTAAGAGTGGAAAAAGAAAATTAGCTTTCTCCCTAATCAACATTTTGTCACGGAGAGTGACACAGGGAATTGCTAGGAATAGTGCTAATACGCTTAAAAGATGATGGGGCTTGGAAAGGGCAGAAGCTACTTGGAAAGTCAAACATCAGACCTCGAGGCTGGGCTATATGAAGACTTTGTGAGGCAAGAAGTAATTTATATCTGCAGACTTAGAGGACAAATAACTTCAAAATCAGTGTATCTCTGCTTTAGTTTGGGGCACGTGTAAGTTTATCTTACTCTGAATTCTGTATTGCATTATGTAATCTATTTTATTTTTCTGTTTTGCAGGAAAACATATGGAAAATTACATATATGTCTATGTGTATATATCTCTATAGATATACAGAGAGCACTTAGCAGAACGTGCAATGAATTCCACAGAAACTGTTGTGGCACCGAGCCAGGCTCATGGAAGACAGTGTGTTACAGTGCCTTATTCAGGGAAAGACCCTGAATGCCTTTCCAAAGCTTCCAAATCATCTTATACAAGACCCAGGATCATAAGGGATTGCTCGGGAACTCACAAAAGCTGGCTTTTGTTTCTTCTGTTTCTCTTCCTTCACTGTTTCCATCTGTAATATGGGACTGTTTTCAACACATGCCTTCAAATGCCATTTTTGTCACTGCATTTTAAGTGAACCACGTGTAAGCTGCTTTTCTTTCCCTCCACCCCAAAGAAGCTGTTGGTGATCAGGCAAGATGAACATTTGCAGTAGTTTCATGTGTGGAGCAGTGTTATGAGGCATTTTGGTCATCAAGCAACACTAATAATTCCGGATGCAACTATTCCCCTGTTATAACAATGTGTATATTTGGATGAGAAAAACAAAGTAAGGCTGGATCCCATAATATTTTATCTCGACTGCCAAAACCTGCAGTATATTCCTGTTTTAGAAAGGTTTTAAGATAAAACTATTTCTCTTGTGAATATATATATATATATATATATAAAATCTGTATGTCTGCCTTCCAGAGCTTTGGTAGAGTTTGTTTGCTCTTGTTTGCCCATGTGGCAGTTGTGTGAGTGTCTCTGAAGGTATGGTCAGAGGATGGAATGATAGTGTGAAGTGTACTATATGTGGCTGGATTTTTTACATAGTGTATCTCATCGAGAATCAGGAGTGAGACTAATGATGTAAAAGAGATAAGTGAGTGTGTGTCGAGAGAAATTTCTTTATTTAGTTCAAGTCTGGAGGCAGTGCCTGGTGTAGTACTCTCTTAAAGCCTCACCTATTGTTATGATGTCGAGTACTCTCAGCTCCCGTTGGAGTCATGGAAAATAAGGAAACCAAGGAAAAGAAGACCCACAGAGGTACCAGTTTCTTAGTTGAGTATAATGTCCTTCATCTGAGGCAGTTAATCTGTGTGAGGAAATGGTCTTTTCTTTTGAGGATTTCTGACTGAACACATGTTGTTTTGCATACTGCATTCCAGGATTTACTTGGAAACACAGTTGGCTTGATTTGTTACCAGCTGTTTTCCTGCTGGAGATCTAGTTCCACACTCTCCCTTTGGTTCCCTTAGCACATGACAGTAATTCCAAGCTGTTTCCTACCTTAGACAATTCAACACAATCATCAATCATAGAAGGAAAGCAAAACCCCATATTTTTGAATAGCAGCTATACAGCTGAGCAATAAAATAACCTTCTTGACTGCTGGGATAGATTCTTACATAAAATGTTTACAGAAGTAGCTCAAGTTAACTATCTATCTCCAGCAAACACCAGTAGAAGGTTTGTTAGTCTTTGGTGACACAGAGCAATTTATTAAACCCCTGAACAGGCTGATGCAGATTTGTACAGTTTTGTGGAGAACTGTTCTATTATCTTTAAATTTCTGTCCCTTACACTGTGCTTCTGTGAAAAGTCAGGAGCCTCAGACTTCCTTTGAATCCCTTGAGAGTCTGATGCAGTGAATGCAGAGTGAAAGTACATTTTAACACCTGTAGATCAGGCCCAAAATGTCAGGATGATACATGCACTGTTGAGCTTCTTTAGCAAGCAGCAACCTTTGCCAAAGGAGACCAACCTACAGTTGAAGGAGTGTATCGTGTAGACCAGGCAGAGTTAGGAAACCCTCATCCAAGTTTATTTCAAAATAAATCCATGCTGTCCTTTAAATAGGTCAATGTTTTCCAGCAGAAAAAAACCAACAAAACCAAAAACAACAACCACCCATCTTCCCCAGTAAAAGCCTAAAACCTCATGAGAGGAATGTATTTTGATTGTTGTGGAAGAGACTGATGAGGGAGAACCACAGGTCTGGTTCCTCACTTACCTGGTGTCATCAGCACCTATGACATTGGACATAATACTGTCAAACCAAAATGGTAGTTTATTTCTTTTAAAGGAGTAAGAGGCTTGATGAGAGATGTTGAGAAATAGTCAGAAGTCCATGGGACTAAGCCCACATATTTTTTTGACTGTGGGTGGTAGCCATAATCCAAAGGTCCAACCTTGGGTGGAGCAGGACCCATGAACAGGCTCTAATTTTATTTCTTTAGGGAAAATGAGAGTTGGGAAACTGGAATTTTCTTAGGCCACAAACTGGTAACACAAATGTTCTCGTGTAACTTTCTCCCTGTGAATTGCTTGGGTTTGGGAAAGAGAAGAATAGAAAGATTTTAAGGCTTAGATAGATGTCTGAATAGTGAAAACTTAAAGTCTAAAATATTCAGTTGGCAACTTTATCCCTAAGTATGCATTTGCACGGGCTTGGTATTTCTGCGTGGTCTGTATGGAGGAGTTTATTTGCTGTTTTGCTTTTAGAAACCATGTTTCCTCATTACAGAGGATACTGCACAAAACAGGGAGGGAAATGGGATTTTTCCAAGCTATGATTTTTCACAACAACCAGAGTACAAATGCAGCATGTGAGCTAGAAAGAACTAATCAGGTGCCAAAAATAGCCCCTGGATAATGAGCTTTTATTGCAGACGGTGGGCACGTAGCCCATCTGTGTCTCCATGTGGACAGGCCATTCTGCAGCCATCCTGCCCCTCATCCCTGTTCCTTTGGGATCCCCACCCCATGGCCAGTCATGCTGCCCCTCATCCCTTTCTGTGGGGATCCTCACCCCATGGCCAGCCATCCTCCCCCTCATCCCCTTTCCTTGGGGTCCTCGCCCCATGGCCATTCCCTCTCGAGGAATGGGGCACCCAGCGCCTGCTCCCTGCCCACTCCTGCCCTCTCCTCGCTCCTGCCCCACACGGCTCCCCTCGGGGAACCCCATGGCTTGTTATTTGGGTGTTTCTGGGAAGAAAGGCCCAGGATAGCTGTTTCTTCCCCAGAGGTATTATCTGCCCACACAACGTTATGCCCTTTGCCTCCCCGGGGTGCTGTGAGGGGCTAGGGGTCAGAGTGGATCCCGGGAGCCCGTTTTCCTCTGCTTTCCACGTTCACACCCCTAGAGGGCTCCTCCTGCTGTCCCAAAGGGGCAAAAAAGCCCCCCAGAGGAGCGGGCGCCATCCCGCCGGCCGTGAGGGAGGAGCGGCCCCGGCCGTGAGGGAGGTTCCTCGCTGGGGAGGGAGGTGGCACGAGGCCGCGGCGTTCCCGATGCCAAGATGGCATCCCTGTGGGCCCCTCTGGAAGGAACACCGTGATCCCGCTGTCCCCAGGCTCGGCTGGCAAGGAGGGGTGAGTTTGGGGACACCAGCGGCCATGTGGGCAGGGCGGGAGGCGGGTGAGGGGCTGGGGGTCGAGCGCCTCAGTGGTGTGGTGAGGGGGGTCCTGTTTGCCTCGAGGGCCTCACGCACCGTGCTGTGGTGGTTGGGGTCTAAGTGTTATATTTAATGAAAAAGAGGTGCTTTCTGCAGTATGTAGATATTCTTCTGAGGAAAAAATTAGTTAAAAACCTTTTTTTAATTAGGAAAGATGGGGCAAGACTATTTACAAGAGCGTGTGGTGACAGGACAAGGGGCAATGGGTTCAAATTGAAAAAGAGTAGGTTTAGATTAGATATTAGGAAGTAATTCTTTACTGTGAGGCCCTGGCACAGGTTGCCCAGGGAAGCTGTGGATGCCCCATCCCTGGAAGTGTTCAAGGCCAGTTTGGATAGGGCTTGGAACAACCTGCTCTAGTGCAATGTGACCATGGCAGGTAGGTTGGAACTGGATGAGCTTTAAGTTCCCCTTCCAACCCAAACCATTCCATGATTATGTGAAAAAAAAAAAAAAAACAAACCCTCCAAAGAAAAACTTTGGATGAAATTTGAATGGGGATGTGGTGGAGCAGAGGGAGGCTACGAAGGCCTCCCTTGTGGGAGTGGCAGCAGCTCCTGAGGAACGGACTGTAGCCCTGGCAGCAGGACAGAGTCCCTGGCCTGGGACTGACCCTGCAGTGGGACAGTGTCCCTGTGGAGCTGCAACCCTCACTACGGGCTCTGGGCTGGCAGCTCATAAATCCTGCAGGATTGTTCTTTGAAAGGGCAGCGGGGGGGAAAGGATCCTCCAATTCCTGCAGGTGCTGAGGAGCTGCTGAGGTTGCTCCTGAGACCTCTGTGCTACAAACCCCCTCCTCCTGTTCTGCTGCTGTGCAAGATGGATAGAGCAGGCTGAGGACCTGGAGGAGCAGGTGTTAGGTACATGCAGGAGGGAGGGCACGGACCTGCATTAACAAAGTGGTTGAGAATGGGAAGTATCCTCCTTCCTAAGACCCCATTGCCATTTTTTGTGCTTCGCAGTGATCCACACAGAACAGGGAGGCAGGAGGGGGCTGATCAAAACTTTTTGAGTGTTCTCTCTTGGCAGTGTTTCCTAGTGATCAGTAAGAGTTTAAGCTTGTGAGGTTGCTTGACACCATGTTGACTGAGCCCAGTAACTTTTTTACACATTTTGCTTACAAAAAACCCGAGCAAATTTATTCTTATTTGATAATAAAATAGTATTTTTTGATGGGAAGCTGTCTCTTGGAAAGCTTCTGTGATACAGTCCAATATCCTGTAATTGATTTCATTGTACTCTGATATGGGTGAGTTTTGCTTCCTAGGTTTGGGAATAGTTGTCCCCAAAACTTAAACATATAGAGAGTTTTATATAATATGAATTTAGCCTTGTTTTTTCATGATATTTCTTTTTCTGATGGGATTAATTTATGGAGGTCATTGTAATTGGTTTATTATGTTGCTAATACAAGAACAGTGAGTAAATTCCCTGAAGAACTCCATTTCCTTTAGTGAGGAAAATATTGGTGTGCCCTGTAGCTCTGATTCATGCTGCTATTGTGAAGTCAGCCAGCTGTGAGATATATGTGTAGGCAATGGATGATAAATGTGTTCTAATAATCCAGTATACAAAGTATTTCCATAAAAATTCTTCAGTAGTATCCAAGGACATTAAACAGTCCATCAGTAAAGTCCCTCTTTAAATGGTTTTGAATCAGGCACAGACTGTTTTAATGCACAATTGTACAGGCTATCTCAAGTTTTCCCCATGAAAGTTCCAGAATCTGTTTTTAGCATATGATTATAATACTGCTGAGAATGTTGCTTCTGATAAAAATTCATACTGATTTTCAGTATTCTCATCTCCAGCTGCATACAAGAAATTAATGATACCTATGCTTTTATTACTTGGGATATAATTGTGTATTTTTTGACCGTCATCACAGAAATTAGCTTTAAAAAAATCTTAAGATATATCTTTTATACAGGATTAAAATTAACTTTGATAACTTACAGAGCACTCTACAATCTCTCCTCCTCTTTATGGCAGACTTGGGTCTGTTTAATTCAAATGCAGCAGTGGGATGAAACTCAAAGCCCTTCCTGCTAGAGCTTGATCCAACTGCAGTGCTGGACTGACACCCTCCTGTCCATCCTGATTCCTCCTTCCCCAGATATTTGGTTAGGAAGGATTTCATGCCAGAGAAATGCTTTCTTCTATTAAAAAATAATAACTAAGAAGACTGGATGATTTATTCTAAAACGAAGATTATACATTTATTGATTAAACTAGCAATATAGACTACCCAA